ATACTGTGAGTTTTTTGGTTCCGGTTATATTTTGTAGTTCTGTTGTCTCATTTTCTGCATCCTTGTCATTTGTTTGTATCTTTCCTTGTAGATGTTATTTGCTCATTTAATTTTTAAATTATAAGGGTGAGGATTTTACTTAGTATCCTGTTTTTGAGGAGCTGCAGTTAATTACTGCCCTTATTTACTGAGAAAGGTATGCTTTTCTTGAAATTCAGTGGCTATTTGACCATCGTCCACTTCTAAAGGCTCTAAAAAAAAAGTTGAACAATGAACTTTTTATTTAACTAGGGTTTGTCCCTGGTACTGATTCAGGCAGACTTTTAAAATCCCATGTACTGGATCATTTATTTATTTCTGGAACCCGTTCTGTCAAATGAGAAGGTGTTCTCAAAATAAATAGCTGTGTGTGCTGTGACCCATATTATTCCTGGCTGTGTGTGAGCCTCAATGTCTTACATGGCAGTATTTTAATATAGGTGAGAAGAACTTGTAGGGTAGATGCACATCATCCCTGGCTGCAGTTGTGCCTCCTGAGAAGTTTGCCGCTGGCAGCTGCTTGCTGGCACCCCAGGGCAGAGGCAATTGCTGCTTCAGTTTTTTGGCTGATATACTTGAGAGCGCTCTCCTCTGACTTGTTTCAGCTCACGAGAGGCTGGGTAGCACAGGCTGCTTCAGTGGTAGGTATTTGCTAAGTCGAGTTAACAGTGATTGAGTGAATGATCTGAGATGCTGCACAGATAGCTCAGTGCACAGAGCAGGGAGGATGATGATGTCTGGGAGGTAGAAGGCAGTGGTGGTACCAAGCATCTGGGGACATTCACCTCTGCAGCTGGTGCACTTGGAGCCATAAGAACAGCAGTGTCTACACTAACACGGTGCTCCTTGGCGTGTCTGCAGTGGACCACGTCGGTTCAGTGGTTTGATTAAACCAAAGGTGAGTTTGCTTTGGCAGTGGGGTATTTGTGGGGTGTGGTTTAGCGCTGCTTTCCACTGCTCTGAAAGAAATGCCATGCAAAATCACCTTTTAATTTTATGGGTAAGGCATGCTGAGATCAGGGCTTGGGAGAACTTGTTTCCAAAGGATCTGTTTTCCCCAACTGCTTCTGCAGTGGGGTTGGGAGGTGGCGTAACTCTGTGGATAGCAGGGGAACAGAAGGCCCTCCTGTGAAATCTGGAGTCAGCAAGCAAAACAAATTCTGCAAAATAAGAAAGGGGGATGGGGAGGAGGAGAAGTACAAGCTATAAACCATAACAAAATCAGACCACCGGCAATGCTAGTATTAGTTTCATTTGGGAATGCTGATGTGGAAGGTTTATTCAGATGTATATGTGGCAGAAGTAAACTTACTGAGCAAAAAATTACTGTGATTTGGTAGATGAACTGTTTCCTAAAGCTGAAGAAGAGCTTGCCTTTGTTGACTAAAAGATTCTTAAAATAAACTAGTTGGGAAAACTCTGTTGATGAGTTTGTAGAACTAGGTTATTATATTTCATGGACTCTTATACAGCAATTTCAGCTAGTGAAATAAATAATGGGTTGTATCTTTAGAAAATATTCCAGAGGGTGTTCATTTTCTCAGGTAACCAGAATATAGTCTTTCATCCTTAGGTTACTGCTTAAACTCCAGTCAGGGTTGCACAGTGCCTGACAACTGTTTGGTGACCCTTGTGAGATAATTCCTAAGCAAAGGATGCTGCTGCATGCTGCACTATTTGTTTTTTTTTCCTTCCAAAAAGTTCACAAAACAGGATGACCTATAACATATGTGTTGTGAAGACACCTTTTCTTTGTCTCACTTTGCAGTGACAGTCTGTGCCTCAGACTGGCTTGCAATGCTTATAGCTTCCAAAAGCTGAGAGCAGACCATTAAGAAAAATACATTAAAATCAACTCCTCTGCTTTTTTGGCTTTACCTAGAGTGACAGAAGGGGGTTTTTGCAAGTTATTTGCAATAAGAATCGTGTAACTATTAAGAGATTATGACAATGAATGTATAATTGTCACTGTAGAAAAAAAAAAAAAATGCCATGTAGTTGAGGACCTGACTAACTTGTCCAGCACTATTTTAGCAACCCATTGAATAAAGGCATGTGGATGCTGTGTAGAAAGGAATTGCTTAGAACCAGTATTTAAAAGTCTCTTCCAATCGCTGTCTGAACTTGGGTGATAGAGGTTTGAAGGGCAAAGGTGCTGCACTGTTGTTTATCTGCCCGTGCTGACCACAGGTGCATTGGGCAGGACTTCTCTGGCTGCACAATGTGCTGGAAGAAAGGAGCAAAATGTTCTGGCGCCCTGAGCAAGAAGAAAGTGCAACACATAGAAGTCAGCAGCTGAATGACGGATTAGGGTGGAGATGCCACGTTTTGGAGAAGAACAATAGGTGGTTGTTGGGATTTTGGAAATGAGAACTTCTGTGAGATTAGAGTGGGAATTTGGCCTCTAGCATCTTTTCATTTCAGGAAAGGTACCAACACAAGCAATAGAGTGAAAAATATGACAGTTAATCAACTGGAAAAGAGCAGAAGCAAAACATTTATGGTTTGCTCTGAAGGTGCTGGGATTAATGCTCAGGCAGTTCTGAAATCCATAGCTTTGTCCAGAAAACACTCTTTGTTTTGGAGGAACGCAAGTGTTAGGAGGAGTCATTATTCTTGTGAGGGAACTGGACTTCTGAGTTGCTAAAGTCCCGAAGACAGTTCAGAGATTTTTACATTTTTCTGTTGACTGCCTGCAGAAAACCAGGTCAGGCTCCATTGAGGTGCTTTTGCTGGCTCTAGGTTCAGTCCGTTTTCTGTCGTGAGGAGCAGTCTGAGTTCCTGGTGGAATTTTCAGAGATGTCTTCTAGAACCCTGCAGTAGCCAGGGAGGGCAGGCATCTCTGGAGGGTGATTCTTCCCATCTCTCCTCTGAAGGGATAAATTTATACTTAGAGGTACCTGTCTGCCTGATGGTTACAGAGAGGGGTGAGGTGATACCCTAAGCCCAAACTTCTGTTTTGGAGTTGGCTAAAGCTTGTTGAGAGGAATCTTATCCCACATAACCTGGTTGGAATATGGAGAAACACAAGGATATCCTTCAGGGAAAGTTGTATAAGCGATGAAGCCACACTGTTGTGCTTTGGCTGCTCCAGATAAACCACTGCAGATATTAGAGTTCTTCTGAACCTGCTTTTTCCTTTGAAGGAAGTACCTGGAGAGCCACACAGTCTGGTGCAGGGCACCATCAAAAGCACAACAGCAGCTCTTTGCTTTTCATGCTGGTATTCAGACCCTTGGGGGAAAATGCTAATTATAATTTGTTTCGTAGTTATTTTGCTTTAAAATCACCCATATATATATATTTTTTTTTTCCAAGCCCCGGTGCAGTGGAACTAAGGAGAATGTTTACAGCCAGTTCTTTGTTTCCTTCCTGCTGTTGCTTAAAGAGCCTAGCAGCAGCAGAGCCTATTATACTTCAAAGTTTCTTGTTCTAGATAAGTGACACGGGGAGACATGGCAATGTATGTTCTCAGAGAAGTATGTTGAAATGTATAATGCAATATGTCTCAGAGATTGTTGTGTTTAGGTCTCTGCATTACCCCCAGGCCCTGTAAATATAATTAGGAGTGATTTCCTTTGATCACAGAATGATGATGTGGAAAAACATAGTAAGGTTTTTAAAATGTGTTAGCAGACTGAATAGTATTAGTAATTTTTATCTCAATAAAAAGTGCGTACTTAATCCGGACACAATACTTTTGCTGATAGGGACACAAAAATTTTTAAGGATAGCTGTATTGCTTCCCTTGACAGGACTGTGTGCTGGGTGGCTTCACTCATCCCTGTCATTGGGTTCCAGGTGCAGCTTTTGAGGCAGACCAGGCTTCTGCATGAGGGGCAGGAAGGTGCAGAAGGCAATTCTGATAAAATTAGAAATCTGAGTAAGATTTTAGCCTACAAATGGGACAACTGCAAGGCTGATGGGCTTGAGTGACAACTATGTGGCAAATATTATTTTTTTTTTTTTGCTCATGGGAGTTAATCTCTTCTGTAAGTTAACTTGGGCTTCCAAGCAAGCCAGAACAAGCTCCCTTCATGGAGAGATGCGAGTTGAGAGCAAGACTTCAGCAAGTCTTGATTCAGTCCCAGGCAGGAGAGGGAAGCCTTTTGTCATATTTTGAGAAAGGGTCTGAGATAAATATGAAACGGGACATCTTGGACATCTCCTCTCCCCAGCCCTTCCCCATCAGCAGCCTTTCAGCCTTTTGGATTAGATGGAGGCAAACATTTGCACTAGTTGGAGGCAAAACTCCCCTTAAAACAACAGCTTTCCCGTCAGGGAGTAGGGGAGAGCTGAAAGGTGAGCTTGTCACTAAAAAAAGAGCATTTACCCAAAGCAAACAAACTCCACACCCACCTCGCTGTGAAATGTAATTCTGCATCAGTGTTGTACCTCCTTTCTGATAAGATTTATTTAGGTAGAGTATATAAAAACTGGGCTCTGATATCTGTGTGTGAAAACAGGAGTGGCTGGTTACCCAATTGTCAGACCGGTCAGACATCATACTTGTATTATTTACCATGCTCTGTTACCTATTTTAGGTTTAAATGTCTCAAGTGGATGCAGTTTTCAGGGGCATTTTGTTGTAAATCTGTCAGCACTTAGGAGCTGCAAAGTCTTTACAGTGACGGCTTGCGGAATTATTTGCAAAACATTTCTGAGATGGAATCTTTTTCCCTGCAGTCAGACTAGTAATCCCATTTAATATGCCTTTTTTTTTTTTTTTTTCATTAGTTGGGCGCTCCTGTCCTTTTGAATAGAGGATTTTACTAGCTCTGGTGGTGTACGGGACAGAAGAACTGCAGAGCTGGGCACGACTGGGTCAAACGCTGAAACAAAAGCAGGCGTTCTGTGCAGCATGGAGTTTCAGCAGCAATCGGGCAAGCGCGTGGGTGCAGCTGCCATGGAAACTGCTTGCAGTGCTTGCAAAAAAGACCAAAACTCTGCATCGCTGCTATTCCTAAATACCAGTCTGTTTTTAGCCGCCCTCTCAACTCGAGATGGCCGGGACTGTTGCGAAGGGCAGCTGCCTGGCAAGGGGAGGAAGGTGGGAAGATGATGCAATGTGAGCAGCTTGTTGCAAGCCTGGAGCCAGCACAGGTAGCAGCGCTGGCCGGGCTGGGAGAGCCAGGGTGGGCAGTCGTGGCCAGGATGATTTGATCTCAGGCGAGGAGTGTGTGCCCACCGCCCTGACGTGGTGAGGGTCGGCTGAAGGAGCGGTGCCTCCTTGCAGGCAGGAGGTGAGTGTGGTCTCCATCATCTCCGGGCGTGCTGGCTGCACTCTCGGAGAGGGGGCTAGCCCCTGTCTCAAATATAGGGTGGCAGGTGGCTTTTATCACCTTCCTCTCTTTCTCTTTCACACAGCCCTGTGCTTTCCTTCCTCCTCTTCACCTCTTTGCACTGTCCTTGGCTCCTGTTTTGCTGTGGGTGTCTGTCTAGACTACACTGACGTGGATACATCCTGTGGTCCTGGCAGCTGGGCTCCACGGCTGCCCTGCCCAGCCCAATTCCCGTCCCAAAACAACGGTCCCTGGTGAGGCATGTGTCATGGACTGGTGGGGTGGGATTGTTAACCGTCAGGGAGCTGGGACGTTGGCCTTATTCCAGTTACACTGGAAGCGTGGCCACAGCATTGGCGCTCAGCATCTCCCCTCTGCCTTGCTTTGGGCTGCCCGAACTGCCTCAGTTAGGGCTTCCTCCTGCAAGATGCTCTGCTCCTGGTGCTGTTCCCAGGCAGCTGGGGCATCGACAGCCCCTCCGAGCCGCGTGTGTCAGTGGGGTATTTGGTGAAGGGACAACAGTGGTTTGATCGGATGGTAGCATTCAGTCTTTGCTCTTAATGCAGTGTGTGTCAGGGCATTGTCTCATGGGGAAGGGCTTCCCCAAGAACTCTCCCGTGGGAGTTACTTGTCTGCTAGGCGGTTAGAGCCACCCCTGAAACTGCAGACATGCAGTATCCTCTCGGCTGCAGGAGAGTCCGGGGCTGCACACACTAGTCAAGGCAGGATGTGAAGTGCTTGCTTGTGCCTGCAAAGACGAACACGCGGGGCTTGGAAGAAGCTGATCCCTCCCCAGCCCTTGAATTATGGCTGGAATGCAGGAATACTGGGTCTAAAAGCACGTATTTTAGCTCCTTTCACACTAGGCTTCTCTTTGATACGGCATAAATCATACTGACAGAAAGCTTTAGTATTAGGTCTGTAGTTGTGCAAGTGCCCTCAGAAGGTTGTAGTGTATTTTTGAATGCAGCTGGCTTGCTTAATGATAAATTCAGTTTCTTCAGAAAAGGGAAGTTCTTAATTCTTCAGCTATGTTGAGTCACTATCCAGCAGCCACATCAGGGTGCAGGGCTGGCAGGTCTGACTTGGAGGTCTGTGTGGGGCAAGCCCTTGAGAATGGCCTCCAAAGCAGCAGAAAAACTCCTGAATTAATGAAAACATACTCTAATTGCTTTCTAATGACTTAATTTTGATTGCATAAGCCCGAAGGAGTGATATAGGATAATTTGATGTTTCACAGAATCTTAGAATGATTTGATTTGGAAGGGATCTTTGAAGATCATCTAGTCCAACCCCCCCTGCCATGGGCAGGGAAATCTTTCACTAGATCAGGGTGCTGAAAGCCCCGTCCAACCTGACCTTGAACCCTAATTTGCAGACACAGTTACCCGAGGATAACAAAACCTTTCTCAAAAGCCTGGAGTCATCTTGGTGTAAGGCACAGGGATCCCCCTGACTTGGCCACATACAGTTTCTGCTCCCCTTCCTTTCTGAACATGTGCGTGTCCAGTGCGCGCTGAGCTCTACCTTGTGCAAGCAGTTCCTCCAAAGTTCGTTTCCTCTAGAAAATCTTTTCAAACACTTCTACTTCTTGCACAGAAACACCGTTCCTGCTTTCCCAGTAAAGGAAAGGGTTCCTTTGCTTTGGGTCAGTGCCTGTTATGGCACCAGAGGAAGTTTTTAATTGGGACAGCAGCGTGGTGATGAGCCATGCACCAGTGCTGGGAGTGTGCCTGTTTGAGAAACATCTGACCTGCAGGCATGCTGGTCCGTGGGGGTGGCCAAACCCTGGTCCATGGTCCAGCATGTCACTCAGGTAGGATGCCCATGGGCCACTGAGCAGGGGTGGCCAGAGGCTTCTGCTGCCACATGGCCTTGCCTCCAGCTGGAGCTGCTGCTGCTCACCGTGAGCTACCTGCTCCCTGCTGCTCAGGAACATAGCAAAATCCACCGAGTTATACCCACTTTAATCTGCCTTTTGTCCACACCTGAAAATCCCCACTCAGCTGCGCCCTTCCCCACCCGGTGAAACGATGGTGTTCAGGGAAGTCTTCTCCTCCCGTCTGTCTGTCTGTCTCATTGGATGTCTCCCATGTCTGTGCAAGATGGTGTTTGCTGTTCTGCACGTAAGTTGGGGCTTTTAATTTTTTTGTTTGTTTCCCCACTACTGTTTTAATAACAGACCAACTTCTGTCTCTAACTTGCTTCCTTATCTCCTAAGGGACCTTTCCCACCTTCTCCAAGAGCTATTATCCAAGGACCACTACTGGAGCATGCTGAATGACATGACCAGGCATCTTGGCTTTGTCTTCATTTTATCTAGTTTTAAGAAGTCAGTAGCTCAATTATTTAATTTGTTTCTCAGAGCGTATATTTTTTTTCTGCTTGATACCAAGGCTGAGCCCCTGGCAGATTATAGTTAATGTGTTACTTCGAGTAGATTCCTGGCAATCTGTCTCAGGCTTTCATTTGGCAAGTCTAATTATCAGTGGAGATCCCCACAGGTTTTATGACAAATTGAAGGAGTTAAATCAAGCAATTTTCTTGCAAAGTGTAATTGGAAGCCATGCTGAGGAGCTATTTGAGGAGACTGTGCTAGAGCTGGTGGGAGACTATTCAATTAGATGCTTTTTCATCAGAAAATAGTGATTCATGTAATGAGAGGTGTGATGCCCCTTATTGGCTGGGCAAGAAGACATCTCCTTAACTCTTTGATCTTTGAGGTGCTGTGGGTAGCAAATGTGGCACTGCCCTCCTCTTCCTCCTCCTCCAGACATCTGGGTGCTGTTTCAAGCTGCCAGAGGATCCTCACTGGCTGAAATCTGAGGTATGGGCTGAAAGGGCGGAGGGCACCAAAAGCGCCTTTTGCTGGATGGTACTTCTTAGGTGGGAATCCATCCTGGAAACTGTCCCATCCCTCTCCTCTGCTTCAGGTGTGGGCTGTGGTGGCTTGCCACCCGGTCGACTGTAGGCACAGCATTGGGTTCATTTCAGTGACACCATCTGCAGCACGATTCCCCCCGTGGTTATTCTGATAGAGCTACAGGGGTGTGATGCAGTAGCCTGGGGAGAAGAACATCTAGTTTCATGATTTAACCCTGCCGAACACGCTGTCTGGCTGCACCTGAGTCTTCCCTGCTTTGAGGCAGGATGCACTATATCCAGTTTGTGTCTTAACAGGTATTTATCTAACTTGTTCTTTCAACACTTGGGTGGTGAAGACTCTCATCTTGTATCCTGCCCCAGCCTTTCATTGTGCCCCGCAGCTGGGAAGCGATCGTAACATCAAATTCCCCACTGCAAATTTAGCCTAATACGTTATGTGTTTCTGCAGTAGCCAAGGAGGGGAGTTAATGTCTATTCAACCTTTTTGAATAGTTGAGTAGCTTAATGTGTTCCGCTTTTGATCTTAATTACAGCTGAAGCTGTGTGGAGAAGGGTGGGCATTGCTGAACTTCCATTCTGGAAGATTTCGAAGCTTGAATTCTGGGAGGTTGAAGCATTCCCGTTGGGGCTTCAGAGCAGGAACCTCCGTCCTTTATTTTGGTCAATATTCACTACTCATTTCCAAATGAGTTTCATGTATCATCACAAGTAACACAGATGGAGTTTTCTGCAGGTATTGAGACAAAACATTAAAGTTTGCCTGCTTTGAAATTTTGGGGAAGTTGTGACTTCTTGTCTGGACTTGGGGAAGAGGACAGTCTTTGCCATCTCAGAATTTTTACTGGGATGGGAGTGGAATTTCTGACCTTGGTACAGCCAGTAGCTGTAACAGTTGGGAAAGCAGGCGGGTGAGCTGCAGCACCCTGCCATTCTCCCAAGGCAATCCTGGAGCACCAGCACCTTCGTGTCCAGTGGGACTTGGTGTTCCCCTTTCAGTAACTGATTTGCTCTAGGTGGGTGGCATAAGGGATTAGAGGGAGCACCTTACTGCTCCTTTTCCAATGGAAGAAATTCTTCAGGGCTATGAGATGCCCGGAGAAGAGTGGGAGATGCTGCCTTGGAAATATCCCTAATGCTGGAGAGCCTGAGGAACAGAAGCCTGCACCATCCCCAGCTGTCTGTGAGAGCGGACTGGTCCCCCATCTCCCAGGTGCAGTTAAAGCAGCTGTGCTCAACAGAGGAGAGTGATATGGTCCCCTTCTTACAGGCAGTGTGTTTTTAAGCAGGTGATTAAGATTGTGTTTTGTATACACGGCACACCCGTGTGTGTGTGTGCCCTTATCTCTCTTTAGTGTTTAGTTTATATTTAACTGGATGGTTTCCTTCTGTTGAATAGCACATGCCTTGCTAGTGACTGATCTTAGTTTTTAATGACAGAATTGGCAAAGAATATAACATTTAGTATCCACATATATATATAATGATGTAATCTACATTTCTGTAATGTGCATTGAGATATATGCATCCATATGCACACGTGAAAAATAAAATTGTGACAGTCAGGAAGGGAACAATTTAACAGCAGGTGGACAAGCCATTCCTTGCGTGGTTAAAATACTGCAGTAGGACAGCGTCCCTTTACACACTGTGAAACCTTTGCAAAGAATGACAGTTACGTGTGTGGCTTTTGGCTTGGATTCCTTGCCATTACTGCTGCTATGGTGGGATATCTTCCATATTCGCATAATGCTAATGCTTGGTCACGTCTCAGTTTTCATCAGTCTTGTTGCTGGTGGCAAGCATCTGCAAATGGCCATGACCACAACCTCCGAGTCAGTTCTCAGCACTTGTCCCAAGCGTGTCTTCTCTGAACTGCCTGCCTTGTCCAGAACAGCTGATGCAGACACTTGCAGCAGCTTTGGGTGCACAGCCAGGTGCACCTTAGGGTCTGATGCCACGTCCTTCATGTCTGTTTCTAAAAGTCTTGAGGGAGGTGTTCAAACGTCTGTGGAGAAAGTTCAGCATCTGCTGTAGCTGTCTTGTCTCTGCTCCGCCACTTGTTGCAGAGTAAAATA